CAGCGATATCCCTGTACTATCTGCTGCGCCCAGTATGTACACCTGTACTCCAAAGCTACTCATTTTTCTCATCTCACATCCAAAAAGGAAAAAAAAGGATAAGAATAACTATAATCTTGCTTGTAATATGAAACAGCATGTGTGTGTCATTAAAAACTGAAAGAACAGAATGATTTACAAACCAACTAACATCACATGCCACCAAATACCACATTTCTCCTTGTCCACTTTCTCCCACAGAGAACCATCTTTTCCCTCCCAGATTCACCAAAACACACTGGTTAAGCTCACCTCAGATGATTCCACAGCTAGCAAACTTATCAGATAATTCAGACTGACTCTCAAGCCCCAAGGATAATCACTGCCCTTCCATTACCTAACAGTAAGATGGCCTCAACTGTATGCTGTCCTGAAGCAGCTTTCAGCAACTATAGTAGGCACATAAGTTTATAAAAGAGAGGAGGGGGAAAGCAGGGATGTTGATTCCTAAATATTTCTCAAAGTATGTTTTGTAGAATCCTGGCTCATGAATGCTCCTGTTCTGAGAGCTTCGACACTATACCTAGGATAAAAAGGCTAGCCACTAAGCAATTCAGAAAGTACTATTTACCCACTCTCTCCAAACTAGCATCTTGGAGGAAAGTACCATATTAAAAGTTCTGACAAGATGGTTCCACAGGAAAGAAACATATTTGCCAAACAGCAATATGAAACCACTGGAACTAATAATTCACTTTCCTTAGACAAAGCAGTTCAGTAAGGTGATACTAGCTAAATGTGATCTTGAGCTGTGAATGGTCCAAACTGAGACATGCTGTTGTACTGTAGCACTGTCCTCCCATTGTTCATCCTTTTGCTCAAGCGGTCACCAGTAATGTCTCCATTGTGAGACTTGTTACTGTTTTTGGCATATTTAATTTGCCATGGGGAGCTTGCCAGGCTCCGCCGTGCAGGCGGGATACTCTTGGTAGCTTGCCGGGCTCTCCAAGAGGGGTGGAGGAATCGAACCAAGGTGGGCCACATGCAAGGCAAATGCACTACCCACTGTACTATCGCTCCAGCCCTGAGACATGCTGTAAGTGAAAAAATACACCAAAGTTGAGTACAGAAAAAAATAATATAAAAATATCACTACTTTTTCTGTTTATCACATGCTAAATGACCACATTATGGCTACTGAGTAAACTAATTGTATTTTGGATATATGTACTTAAATTACTTAAATGAAATAGATAAAAACTAATTTCATGTACTATACTTGAATTATGCTAAAAACTATAAATGTTGCTCATATATTTCTGTGTTTTTTTTTAAATGTTTCTAAAGGACAACATTCCTTTAGAAAATGCTAAAATGCAACACAGACTTAGAAAACTAACTTATTGAGCTGGAGAGATGGTACAGCATGTAAGGTACTTGCCTTGCAAGCAGTCGACCTAAGTTTGATTGCCAGCATCATATATTATCCCCAGAACCCTACCAGGAGTAATCTCTTAGCACAGAGCCAAGAGTAAATTCTGGGTACCATGAGGTATGGCTAAAAAAAAAAAAAAAAAAGAAGAAACTGACTTCATCATTTTATCATGGCATCTATTTAGCACCTGAAAGAGATGCACTACATCAGAAAACTTGAAAACTTTTTTTTAATTTCTTTTTGAGTCATACCCAACAGTGCACAGGGGTTACTCCTGGCTTTGCACTCAGGAATTACTCCTGGCGGTGCTCAGGGGACCATATGGGTTGCTGGGAATCGAACCCCGGTTGGCCGCGTGTAAGGCAAAAGCCCTCCCCACTGTACTATCGCTCCAGACCCAGGTGTTTAATTTTTCAAAAAGCATAGCAACATTGTTAGGGATGCCTAAGGCAGCCCATTCCAATCTAGCAATCCATAATTTCAAAAGTATCAAGGAAAGAAAAGCTAGTTTCTTACAAAATATTAACATCTTTCCATTTATTTTTTATTTTATTTTCCTTTTTGGGGTCATACTTAGCAATGCTCAAGGGTTACTCCTGACTCTGCACTCAGGAATTACTCCTGGCGGTGCTTGGGGGGACCATATGGGATGCCGGGGATTGAACCCAGGTTGGCCGTGTGCAAGGCAAACACCCTATCTGCCGAAAGTACTATCACTCCAGCCCCAAACATTTTCCATCTATTATCCCTTAGATATTCATGTAACCTTCACTTGGTGTGTTGCTTCATAGCTCTATCTGTGAAACTAAAAATCAAGAAACACCTAGGGTTCAGGAACTGAAATCACTACGTTGCACTAAGTACAGGTGAAGACAGAATTCCTTTAGAAATTGCTCCCTGAGGGTGCTGCCCACTGCACCCTGGCTTATACCTGTATGATTTGAGAATGCATATTAGGTATCCTTCCTTATTCCTTTACATTGGACAAACCACTCCACCCAAACCCTGTGAAAGGGCCCTAGATATGTGAAGGTATGTCTATGGGGTTTTTAGTGCCGAACTCTTCAATGACAATCAGCTCATAAAACATTGCACTGTTGTAATATGCACTGTCCTCCCATTGTTCATCAATTTGCTCGAGCGGGCCCAGTAACGTCTCCATTGAGACTTGCTGTTACTGTGTTTGGCATATCGAGTATGTCACGGGTCACTTGCCAGGCTTTGCCGTGCAGGCGAGATACTCTCAGTAGTTTGCCAGGCTCTCGGAGAGGGGCAGAGGAATCAAACTCGGGTCAGCCGCGTGCAAGGCAAACACCCTACCTGCTGTGCTATTGCTCCAGCCCCATAAAACATTACTAAAGGAAAACTGTTGTGACTCAACAAATTTTAAGGTTCAGATTGTCTCACTGTGAAAACAGAAACAAGGCCCATCATACACAGGAAAAATAATCAAATGGGGGGAGAGGGGAGCCCATGAGATGCCTGGCCTAAAGAACACAAACTCTACTCCAGACTTCCATTCAGTGGGCCCCAGACACTTCTGCTTTACAGTTAGGGACAACAAAGCTCTTGGCCTTCCAGATTACAAACTGAGTGGCTATCTACAAATGGTTGTTATAAGGCAAGTAATTAATAAAAGCTGAGAAAACCCATCAGAACATGACAGGAGGTGGGTTTTACTCTTTATTAGTGGCAGTTTCATTTGCTATCAATAAAGATGAACAATGAACAATCTTCCTTCAGGTCTTGGGGATTTTTCCTTCTCTCTCTCTCTCTCTCTCTCTCTCTCTCTCTCTCTCTCTCTCTCTCTCTCTCTCTCTCTCTCTCCTCCCCTCGTGTAAAACAAACATTCTACTCCTTTGAGCTATCTCCCTGGCTCCACGTCTCACTGCTAATCATCCTGTTAACCCATAAGAAAGGACTTTAAAAGGAGGGCAATTTTGAAAGATTTGGAATTATTCTTAACTTTTACCTGAGAAGCTGGATCTACAGTTGAAATGACTAGTGATATTAGGACTATGTGAAGGAATTCATCAGTATGCAGTTAAAAAGTTTCCTTTGAAATAGTAGAGTTCTGGGGGCAGAGAGATAGTACAGTGAATAGGGCACTTGCCTTGCACATGGCCAACCAGGGTTTGATCCCCACACCCCACTGGGTAATGAGCTCAAAAAGAGTGATCCCGGAGTGCAGAGCCAGGAGTAAGCCCTGAGCACCACTGGATGTGGCACAAAAAAAAAAAAAAAAAACCCGAAAAAATTAATTAAAAATAAAAGAGTTCTTAGGTTTCCAATAGGTAACAATAGACAATAGAAAATTTACATAGACAAGCTCATTCTAGATAAAGATATAAATCAAGTTCAACCAAATCATCTACCTGTTTTCAGGAGCTTTAGGACTAAAGGAGATTACAAGTCTGAATCACCCCAATCTGTTGATCGAAGCACCTAGGAGAGATATACTGAACCTCTTAGCTGTGGTGGCAGCTGGGAAGCCAGATGCCCCAGGTCTAATCCCAGCAGGCAGCAAGCTGCCTCCACTCTCTAGGTTCCCAGGAGACCTCCCTGCCTTCCTTGCACCCCTGGGGCCTGGGACATAATGCTCAATCATGTCTACATTAATCAAGAACATCTACTGGATTAGCGTTCCTTTCTCAAACCAAGTGCACTGCGGGCTGAAAACAAACAAACAAACAAACAAAAGCTGCATCTTTGTAGAGAGCCAGTTCAAAACATTTTTGACACAAAGAAAAACAATCCGAATGGAGTTTAAAATGTAAAGCCGCAGGCCGGCTGCCAGGATTTAGGGCTATGCTCCAGGTGTAACAGATGCTTCCTGTATGAGGGGCCCCTACCCAAGCTGAGCAAGCCCAGGAAGCAGAAGGCTCTCTTGAGTGTCCTACTTCTTTCCAGGCTGAAAGCACTCTATCAGGAGTCAAAGATCACCAATGCCACTTTCGGGGAAAGGAGGGTGGGGGAAGGGAGAACTTGGCTAATGATCCTGCCCAAACTACTCATAAAGTTTACACTGAGGACAGGCAAAGAGCTCTCTTCAACTGCTGGCCCTGCACATCACATGACAGAGCTCAAAGACACTGTACTTTTTTTTAATAGCCTTTTAAAAATATGTATTATGACTCGTGCAGGTCCAATATCCCTTTGATCACTTCCTGGCATGGAAAGCCATCAAAGCACCCCGCGCATTCCACGCTCTTCTTCATGGCCCCACAGAAACAGACCCGCACCTCAGCTCTCCCGCTCCTGGGGGGACACCAGCCTGCAGCCTCTGCTGAGGGCCGGGCTCCACGCCCCCCTGCCCTCCTCAGAGGGCCTTCCCATCCCCCTTTCCAGGCCCCCCAACAGCCTGGAAATCGCTGCTTTTCTCCAGCCCACCCACCCTCCTCCACCCCTGAAGGCTCTTGGCCAATCCTGCCCCACAGAGGGAGGCAAGTGGTTGGGCAAACACTTCAGAGCCGAGCTGGGGGGGAAGAGGCAGGGACGGGCCTCCGGGGAGCCCCCACCCAACCGGCAGGCGGGAAGCCACACACCGGCACCCCCACCCCGGCCGGGCACCCAGTTCCACACTCACCTTGGCCGACGTCTCTCCGAAGAGAGGTCTGTTGTCCAGGCCACTACTGGTGCCATAGGTCCGGGGAGCGAAGTCCTCCATTTTGGGGTTTTCCTCACTTTCCCCAAGTCACTCAGAAGCCCGCCGGCATCGCCTCCCGCAGTCTCGCTCCGAGGCTCTCCACCCTGCCAACTACTTCACCGCTCACTCATGGCCGGAAACCCCGGGCTGGGGGTGCGGGCGGGGGGGGGGGGTGCGAGGAGAGGAGAGGGGGGGACGCTCCCCGAAGTCCAGGCGGAGGAAGGGGGGGTAGGGAGGTGCTCGACCCGGGGCACCAGGCCTATGGGTCGAACTCCAGTCTCCTCATCTCCGGCAGCTGCCGCGGGAAGTGAAAGGAAACACACCCCGCGTGGCCGCCTCACTCGGGGCGCCCCCGGCTGGCGCAGCACCCACTTCCCCAAACCTCGGCGCTCAGCTCTTCCTCTCAGCCAGCGCCGCGGCCACCGCTCGCCGGGCAAAATCGGCTCCCGCCGGGCGACGGGGCTGCACGTGATTGGGCCCAGCAGTCCAGCCTCCGCACACGCTCACCCTCGTCTCTTCAAACGCTCACTGCCCCACACGCTCAGTTTTCCACAGGGAGGGCAGCGGGTAAAAGTTTGCCTGGAGGAAGTCATTCCCCGCCCCCTCCCCCATCACCACCACCAAGTCCTCCAGCACTTGCCCGCCCCACACCCCCTAAGACCCCGAGCGGCGGCAAAAGTAAAGTTGCCGAGTTCGGCGCGCGACAACCCCCTCCTCTTCAGCGGCCCGGATTCGCCGGCCGGCCGCCAAGCACCCGCAGGGCTCCCCGCGCGCTCTCCAGCTCCAGCCGCAGCCGCGAGCGAATCAGCGGCCGGGGCGCAGCGAGCGGAAACGACGATCCCGCCTCGGCCCGGCACGGATTGGCCCGCGCTCCCGGGGAACCGCCCCGCGCCCGCCCCCTGCGCCTGCCAGTCAAACCTCGGTGTCCGTCTGGCCGCCGGCTAGCCGTAGAGTAGTCGCGGTCCTGCTCGCCGACTCCAGGGACACGCCCCCACGCCCACACGCGGCGCCCACGCTAGGACGAGACGCGTGGGGAAGGGCAAAGAGACTCTCAGAACTGGTGGAAAGACGGCGCGCGGGCTGCGCACTACGCGGCGGGGACCCTCTTCAGTGCCACCGGCTACGACCCGCGGCCTCCATCGCAAACCGCCCGGACCCACCCGGCTGCGTAACGTCCGAGGCCGCCAACCCCAGACAGAACTGAGGCGCCGCATGGGCTGCAGAGCTTTATTTCTAGAGATGTCGGTTTCTTCGGCTCAGGCACCGGGCTGCCGCTTCCTAGCCTCCCAGCAGTTAGTTGGCTTCTGCGCGATCCCCAGAGGCAAAGGATCTTTCTGGAGATGGCGCTGCATTATGCTGGAACCTTCTTAGAAGGCAGCTGACCTGCTTTAACCACCTCGGTCTGCACAACTAAGCCAGACCCGGGGTCACTTGGTAATTACGGCTCTATGTTTTGCCCTGTTTTGTTCTGTTACGGAACTCAACGTTTGCCCCCCAAAAAACGGTCGCGAGATGATGTGTACTAGGTAGCGCTTTGTCTTGACCACACTCATCCTGCTAGACACGTTCCTTGCATGTTTGCAGTCCTTGAGACCTCTGTTGGGACAACTTCTCCGGGTCTAGAGAACTGGAGATGGCCGTTCTGGCCTTGTACCCTCTGCACGTGGGGTCTTTTTACAAATTTTAGGACGTAAAGACAAGCATTCTGGATTCCCTGGACAGTGAAGGGAGAGCCTGAAGAATCCCAGCAATGACTCCAGGTGGTCCTTCAACAGTTTGGGATAAGGAAATAGGACAAAGGGTGGACTAAGAGCCAAATGGCTCTACATTTGCAATCTGCAAGCCTGAGTAGAATTGGGTTTGGTGTATATCTGGTCAACCGTTATATCTTTTATAGAGAATTTTTGGATGTATTCGCCCCTTTCTGTTTTATCTGGAGTGCTACACAGTCGCGCACCCAGTTCTATTGGAAGTTTTATTGGTTCCACAAAGTAAGTCACTAACATGATTCAGTGGAGACTTTTGAGAACTGGTTCTGTTGCCAGATAGGGTGATAGTAATCAAGAGTCAGGCAAGATCATAGGGATGAGTTTGAAGTGGAAGATAGAGAGCCATGTCTTACATCCAGAGAAAAGGAGTTGACAGCACTAGTTTGAAGTCACTCCATTCTGGCTTCAAGCTTTTAACACAACTAGACACAAGTTCTATATTCTAGGGCAAGCTCTGTAACTTTTAAACTTCTTCATATTTAAAAGAAGATGATAAATGGAATATTAATATTTAAATCCAACCATTTGAAAACGTTTAAAACAGAATACCTGTCAAGCACCTAACTGCTGGGTATCATGATTCACATCAAGTTCTGTGACCTGGCCTATAGGGTGCAGTGGGGATACCTGGGAAGAAACCTATCTGTGGCTGACAGGTAAGCCTTACTCATGGAGGCCCTCTAAAGCAAAGACTGAAATAGCCAGGTTGGGGAAGGTAGTCTAGAATCAAGCCAGAGGCCAGGTGTTTGTGGGGGTAGAATTTGAAGAGGAAAGCTGGATCAGGAAGAAAGGTCCTCTCACCCTGCTTCTTGAAATGCTGATTATCTTGTGTCATCAATATTCTGTGCCTTTGCTCCATTCTTTTCCCTGAAATCTAGCCACTCAAGATTCCTTTTTCCCCATATATCCACCTACTATGGTTTTACTTTATTTTGGTGCTAAACTCAGGGACAACGGATTTTACAGCTCCAGTGTTCATCGCTGATTCTCAGGCTCCCATGTGGTTTCCTTTGATAGGGACCTTCCAAATTGTGCTCAATCAGCCAACCTAGTTTTTTTAATGCTTGGGCCTGGTGGTACTCAGACACAGCAGTGCTCAGCCACCAGAGCTCCACTGGGCACCCAGGTTCCCTGAGCCTTTCTCCTCAGACCCAGGGTTTTTTTCAACTGACATTTTTCAGTTGAAATTCTCATAAGCAAATTTGCCTGGCTGAGTCCAGATTCTATACTGAGTCCTCAACTCCCAGGCAGCCAGTAACTCGTCTTCTAAAGACCACCCTCCTCAGCAGAGTGGAGTAGAACAGTCTTTCCAATAGAAAAGACTTGTGCCCAGGCTACAACTCAGTGGCTTAGAGCCCCGACTATGCAAGCATAAGGTCTCAGAGTTCATGTTCTGGTTGCCCAGTGTTGCCATCCCATATGCTGAGTGCGATCCTGAGAGTGCAGCTTTTTGAGCCTGGCACTTACGTCTGTGCTCCCTAGAGCCACAAGCAATTCATGTTCACACCACAACCAAAGTTTGTATGAGCATGAGAAGTGAGTACGCACACTCTTGCCACCCATGCACCGAAAGCATTATTACCAGAGATACTGTGAGCACCACAGCCAAAAAGTTGCAGCAAATTCAGACAAGCCATTTGGCAAGCCCTGTCCTTCGGTCCTTAAAAGTCCCTCATGCAAGGTCTAGATACCACTTCTTTGTTCACTTTCATGCTCTGATCTAGTCTGTTCTATCCCTCCATTTTCTCCTTTAAGAATTATTGCTGCCTCCTCCTCCCTCTTCTCTTCCTCCTCCTCCTCCTTCCTTCTTCTCAGTCCTCCTCCTCCTCCCTCCTCCTCCTCCTCACTCTCCTCCTCCTCCTCCCCATCCCTCTTCCCCCCTCCTTCCCCTCCTCCTTTCTCCTCCTTCTTTCTTCTCCCAAAACTCCAAAGCATCTGCTGAAACACAGACACTAGCCCCACACGAGACCTACCGCCTGATCCCACTGGACACTCTGGCCCTGACAGAAGCAGAGATCAAAACCAGGTTAGCAGTGGCAGAAATTGGAGTTAACCCCAAGGGTGAAAGTGGGGAGCACCATAAGCTGAAACTGCCCAATTCTACCACCTAGGTGAGGGGACGGGAGAGAAGCACACCCACCACACACACACACACACACACACACACACACACACACAGAGGAGACCACAGGGAGGACAATGTGCAGGCACAGCATTTCCCTTGCAACTTCCTGTGAATCTGGGATTACCTGGAGATCAAAAATTAGGTAGAAAAAGTTTTAAAAAACCAGAAGATTAAATGGCTACTTTGCTTCCTGGTCCACATCATTTGGCAACACAAAAAGGACATTATGGTGAGAGGTGGGTGGGAAACCTGGCAAAAAAAAGTTTTAAGTGTGTAATTTGATTAATAGTTTTATATGTTATCTTTTTAATTTTTATAAATTACAAAGGTTACATTAACATTGGGCTGGAGTGATAGCACAGTGGTAGGGCATCTGCTTTGCACGCGGCCAGCCCGGCTGACCAAGGTTCAATTCCTCTGTCCCTCTTGGAGAGCCTAGCAAGCTACCGAGAGTATCTTGCCTGCATGGCAAAGCCTGGCAAGCTACCCGTGATGTATTCAATATACCAAACATAGGAACAACAAGTCTCACAATGGAGACGTTACTGGTGCCTGCTCGAACAAATAGATGAACAATGGGACAGTGCTACAATGCTTACATTAACATTCGGTGAAAAGAATATGAAACAGACCCATGATAGGAAGCTTGCCACAATAGGAGAGGGCAGTTAGGACATAGAAGGGACCACTATAACAATGATAGTTGGAAATGATCACTTTGGACAAGAACTGGATGCTGAAAAGAGGTAAAGTGATAAACATGATGACCTCTCAGTACCTGTATTGAAACCACAATGCCTAAAAGGAGAGGGGCGGGGAAAGGGAGGGAGGGAGAGAGAGAGAAAGAAGTGTTTTCCATAGCCTGGTGGGGAGGGTGTGTAAATGGCAGGAGGAAAACTGGGGACATTGATGGTGGGAATGTACAATGGTGAAAGGATGGATGTTGGAATATTGTATGACTGATACCCAATCATGAACAACTTTGTAACTGTGTATCTCATGATGATTCAATAAAAAAAAATTTTTAAAGGTTTATAAGATAGCTAGAACGTAAGAAATCTTTTAAAAAAATTTTTTATCCCATTGTTTTGATAACATCTATAAAGTCCTTTGAGATGCTATTTCTTCTACTTTCTCAAAACCTGGGCTCAAAACTTGGGCTGGAGCGATAGCACAGCAGTAGGGCGTTAGCCTTACACGCAGCCAACATGGCCGACCC